ATATCTTTTCTGTACCAGTTGGTGACAATACGTGATCCAATCCTAATGAATTGCACGTCTAAGAAGTTCAGATGATTTTCGGTTTCAACTTCATGTGTGAACTTGATATGTGTATTTTGTTCATTAAAGATCTTCAAAATGGTGTCAACATGATTGATGTGTACACATGCGAAACCATCGTCGACATATCTGTACGAAAACAACGGAACGATGTCAAATTCATCTTTCAGTCTTCTCCAGCACTCCGACTCCAAATCAGCAAAAACCAAATCAGAGAAAGGACTGATATTAGATCCCATCGGAGAGCCGGCGATCTGCTTGTAATACTCTCCATTAAACGAAAAATACACGTTGTTAAACAAGAACTTCGTACACTCTATGACCTCCGCAAAGGGTATCTTTGAATTTTTACAAATCTCATTGTATCTGCGGTCTAAGCTTGATAAAACGTCCTCCAACATAACATTGGTGAACAAACGTGGTGGTGTGTTTTTTCATTTCTGAATATGTTCACTGCCATCAATACTAAATTACAGTGAAATCATGACGGTGTAATATAAAAATTAAAATGAATAAAAAATTCATGAATCAATTAAAGCTAATTAATATCTACTCATTATGTTTTCAAAATAGAATATTTTATTCATTTTGGATAATTTTTAATATAAAAGTTTACTTAATTGTATCTAAAAGTAATTAAAGTTTATATTATGTCTAAATTTTGTTTGCGATCATAACCATTTTTCTATTGCGACGGACAGCCTACCCCGGGTCGGTAATTCAGCTCGACTGCCGTGCACTTTATTTATGGGGGCCCACTTTACCTGACTCGAGTCTCAGAGGGGATATTGGGCCCGTCACCAGCACGGGCGAGCCGTGAGCCCGTTCACTCACCTTCCTTCGCTTAGTTCTGATACCTGAAATTCTCGAATAGGTCAAGCGAAATGAATTGACACGCGTTCCTTTACGATTAATTGATTTATCTTTATTTAAGGCCCACGAGGGCAAACGATAACAAATAATACGCGAATTACAATCTTCGGCTTACGATACGGCCCCGTAGCCGCTTACGCACGCGTTAGGCACTTTCCGATCGCCCACGAGGGCCGAGACTTGCTCGCACGTTACTATCGGCCCAGTGTCGTCGCTACGACACTCGCGTGGCCTCACTTACACTAACACACTTGCTCACACACACACACACACACGGGCGGCCCGGCAGCCTCGCCGACCAACGGCTTAGAAATACCTTACAATTACCCCCAAGTTCTTCGGCGCCTCGCTGCTGCACTGATGACCTCTTGTCGATGCTCTGGGTGTAGTCTTCTTGGCCCAACTACTACTGCTGCCCGCGTCCGGGCTTCGTTGTACCTCAACGTGTGTTGTCTTCGTTCAGCCTTCCAGTCCTCTTTCGGGCTCTGCGCACCTCACTCTTGCGATTCTGGCTGCCCGATCGGGCGAGTCTGCTCCAAGACGCCCTGCCCACCTGGGCTCCGATCTGACTCGTGTATCCAATTCCACACGGGCACTAACGGGCACTTGCTCACCCGCGTCACAACGACAACTTCAGCAATCACTTCCGCAATTTCAGCTTCACGCACTCGCTCGCGTTTTCCTGCGTCTTCCTATCACTCGGCTTTTCGCGTGGCCTCCTCACTCGCCAGCGTATTCTAATCTCCCTGCCTCGTAGCGAAAGGAATTCGCCCGGTGTCTGCTCGGCTCTTTTCTGTCCTTCTCGCACGTGTTGATACTGGGCCACGCTCCTGGCTTCACATCATCAGTCCGACGAGCCACTGCTTATCATCTACCTGAAAACGCGCGAGAGAAGGGAGACACACACGCACTCACTCATACATACGCGCGTGCGGCAGTCTCGGCGCGACGCATTTTCTGCGAGTGCTCGACTCGCTTACTGACGGCTTGTGCTCCGTCACACTATCGAAAAGAAAAAAGGGCTTATAGGACTAAATTGAGTCATGCAAACACTTGGCATTCTACGATAGGTAGCTTAGATGTGTCAAATACTTAGCGAAGAAGATCTATGGCCTTGTATCAATGTATCTAGCTATTTTATGGATCTAGCAGGTATTGTAAAAGGCTGATATGTCTGTCATCCAAAAAATAACTTTTTCCATTTTTACAACCTAATACTGTAAATAGAAAAATTGAAAATAAGTCAGCCCCCTTTTAACCTTTGAGCCCAATAGATCTAGCTGAGCGTAGAGAGCTTCATCATTACGTATCAGAAGACCTAAAAAATTTTTGTAAAGATTTAAAATTTTTAAAGTTTCTTCTTGTTAGTCGTGTTTAATTGTTCTAATCTCTTTATTTTATTTTTTTTGTTGTTGATAAAATTCGACTCGGATAACCTTCAATGGATTGCTGCATATATTTTTTCGTATATTGACATAGAAGCCAGAAACAATTTCAGATGAATAATAATAATTCAATTCTTCAATCTGAATAATAACTTTTATTTATTTTTACAGGTGAAAATAGTGAATTTAGAAAAAATTCCGATTTGTATAAAATGAGGGAATTGAACAATAAACTATCTTTGCAAATGAATTCCACAATAAAAAAAGATGTCAAGACAAAACTCAAATCCATGAATTTAGATATCATTCCTACAAGTGACTCGGAAGACATATTTTATGATTCTCACAAAATGTTAATGATTAAACCAGACATTAACAGGAGATTGAGTTGTGATAGTATAAGTACCAACGCTTCGGAAAGCGATTTTCCAAATTTGATGAATTATGATGTCTCTAGTTCACAATCGAATTTTAATTTACACTATGATCATACATCATTAGGCAAAAAATTTCCACAAAAATTAAAAAAAATCAAATCATGGGAAACATTTCCACGTTCAAAAAAGAAAAAAAACCGTTCAACGCTCAATACTGACATCTTAAGTAATATAAAAAAAGCCGATAGTTTTGAAGGTCATGAAGAAGCTGTTCGAACACTAGTAGCAGCAGTACAAGAAACTCGTTCACAAATAAGGAAAAATAATCAACAGAGTCTATACTATCAAAAAAGCAGAACTAATTAATTTTTTATGGAGCTTTCTTTCATTTAACCAATCTACTTTTTTTTATTTTACTTAAAAACTGATTATGACAATCAATAACAATTATAAATCAATGAAGAAAATCCTAATTATTTGATTTAAACGTCATTTTTGTTATAAGTAAGCAAGACATGTTTTTAAATAAAAACAATTTTAAATTAAAATTTTTCTTAGTTTAAAGTTTTTCCAAGTCTGATACAATCAATTCAACATGTTATCATTCATGAATAAACAACTTGATATCAACAACATGTAGGCAGTCATCTGTCAAGTAAGACAATCATTTTTTGACTCCCTTTTTTTATCGCAGGAAATGTTTTTACATAGTGCCAGTAATGTTTTTAACCCTTGAAAAAGTTTCCTGTAGATGTTTTTAACCCTTGAAAAAAGATCCTGTGAAATTCCTACATGAATCCTATAGGATTCATGTACTTTTACAGCTAGTTACAAATTTAGCGATTCGACTAAATAATGCCACGGTGTGTGGCACTGAGAGAGTTGATGTGAAATTAAAGATCGTACGAACTTACCTGTAAGTGAAGTGCGATCCTAATTACACGAAGGCTTCGCTCGAAGAGATTATACATATACTTGTAGCTTCCTGAGCTGCTCACCAGAGTTCACAACGCAATTTGATTTCTAAAATAACCGCCGACACGGGGCGCCCTGCGCCTCCTTGCCCGTGGGCCGTGCCGTATCCTCTCATACTTTTTGAGTATTGAATTTAAAAAAATAAAAAGAAAAGATTTGTTTGGGAATGGGAAAATTTATGGGCGGGAGTATAATCTCTTCGAGCGAAGCCTTCGTGTAATTAGGATCGCACTTCACTTACAGGTAAGTTCGTAAGATCTTTAATTACACTTCGTGCTTCGCTCTCGAGATTATACATATACTTGTAGATATTCAGAGTCTTTTTTTTTTTTTTTTTTTTTTTTTAATTAAAGCCGGAGGCTGAATGATTTATCTGAATATAATACTTTATTATCTTACTTACATAAAAAAATACATTACTTATTCATAACATTTATCATGAATGTGTTTTCATCCTTTTTATTTATTGATCTTTTATAATACTTGGCAAAAACCCTGGACCTCTCTGACCATCCTGCCGTATTTTTAATGGTTTCTATATATATACCCTTATCGTATGCTGCTGATGTCGATGCGTGTCTAGTTGAGTGTGCTTTAAATATTCCTGTATCAATACCAGACACCTTGAGCATCTTTTTTGTCCATCTTGCTAAGGTCTGAGACCCTACCGATACTCGTGGTTTTTTTAAGGATATAAATAAGTATTCTTTATCCTCTCTTAAATTTTCGGTTCTTTTCAGATATTCTTTAAGGCATTCAAACACGCATAATTTAGGCCTTGCCTCAAATTTGGGTAAGATCAGCTTTGGCTGACTTGCACCTGGCCTGGACGTTTTTATGATTTCTGTAATAAGAATAATTATCTTGTCTTCCGTTGAATGAATGTCTTTGATCTTAATTTTTGAGAAGGTCTGCATTCTTTGTGCGGTAGCCAGAGCTAATAGTATTAATGTTTTATAAGATAATTGTTCTAGGGATAGACTTTGATTTTCTTCCATTGATTCTATATACTTAAATACTGTTTGAACGTCCCAGGTCGAGGTGTATCAAGGCGCTGGTGGTCTCTTTCGATAGCATCCTTTCATAAATCTCTTAATTAATTTGTCTGTACCAATATCATTGTTTGATATTAATGATATCGCACTTCTATCGGTATTAAGTGCACTGTAGGAAAGACCCTCATTAAATCTTATTGTTAAAAAGGCTATTGCTTGTGCAGGATAAGGGCTATACGGATCTATGTTGTGTGCTTTAGTGAATCTGATCCACTTTTCAATCGATGACTTGTAATGATTCGTCGTACTCTTACTTAAGGAAGATAAAATGATATCTAGGGAGTCTTGTGATAATTTTTCATTTTCAAAGGCCTTCCTGATACTATTGTTGCCATCATGTAGAGAGTCCTGTACCTGGGATGATGTTTTTTCCTGCAGACAGAAAATAATAAATTTTTATTTGGTGGGAAGATTATAGGTTCTCCTTCAGTCATCTGTGTTAAGAGAGGAAACCATGTCTGGTTCCTCCAGACTGGCACTAATACAATGCCACGAGCTTTTTCTTGACTGATCTTTGCAAGGGTACGTGTTATCAATACAAATGGTGGGAAGGCATAAAAAAATAAGTTTTTCCATGAAAATGAAAAAGCATCTATTTGTGTTGCTTTTTTATCAGGGAACCTTGAGACGTATTTGAGGCACTTTTTATTCGAGGCTGTGGCAAAAAGGTCGATCTCGGGTTTCCCAAATGTTTGACTAATTTTAGAAAAAGCTCTGTCTGAGATTTCCCATTCAGCATCCAAGTTAGACAATCTAGACAGGCTGTCTGCTTCTGTATTTTCTTTAGATGGTATAAAGGAGGCTGTAAGCCAATTATCACGTTTTTCTGCATGTTGCCATATTCTCCTTGCTAAGTCATTGAATTTTTTAAACCTTACTCCTCCCATTCTATTTATGTAAGCGATTGCTGTTGAGTTATCAACTCTTAGGATTATTCGCGAGGATCTGAGTTGCTCTGTAAAACTTTCAATAGCATATAGTACAGTAAGCAACTCTTTATAATTTATGTGGTATGTTGATTGAACACTATTCCAGATGCCACATATTTTATTTTTTCCATCCGTGGCTCCCCAGCCTACATCTGATGCATCTGTAAATATAACTTTAACTGTTGGTCTATATCTGAAGATTTTCTTAGCTGTCATGAGGTTATCTTTCCACCACCGAAATTCCATCTTGATTTTATTGCAAATTATTATGTGACCCTTGTACGATCCTGCCGAGCTTCTAAGGGCCTGAATTTTCTTTCTTTCGAGCACCCTAGTGTATAACCATCCATATTGTACAGCAACACAGGCAGCTGTAAGTTAACCAATAATTTTTGCAAAGGATAGAATATCTATTTTTCTCATAAGTGAGATCTGTTCTATGTATGAGATAATATTCATCTTCCTGTTACGAGTCAATTCAAGGGTTCCTTCGACAGAGTCAATGATGACACCTAAGTACTTACATCTGGTACTTGGAATACAGCCTGTTTTCTTATTGTTGATGACAAAACCTAGACTCTCCAGTAATTTAATGGTTTCACTTGCGTTCTTGGCACATTCGTCATATGTCTTGCCAATGCAAAGTATATCATCCAGATATATAACTGAGAGATAACCCATACTCCTTAACCTCTGCATAATTGGTTTCATAATTTTTGTAAATACATATGGACTAGTAGAAAGTCCAAAAGGAAGGGATGAGAACTTGTAAAACTGTTTATCAAAGTTAAAACACAGATACTTCTGATCAGACTCACAAATTGGCACAGTCAGGTATGCGTCCTTCATGTCTATTGACAGCATATGATCATTTGGTCCAATTAAACTGACTGCTGTCTTTAAATCTTCTAGTTTGAAGTGCTGGGTTTTGATGAACTTATTTAAATTTTTTAGGTTTAGTATAAACCTAAACGTACCATCTGGCTTTGGTACCACAAAGTAATTGGAGAGAAAAAGGGCTTTCTCTTTATGAGTTTTCACTACAGCTCCTTTTTCCACTAATTTTTGAATAGCCCTTCTTATGTGTTGCTTTTCTGTTTCATCTTTTATTAATCTATTTTTAAAGCCTGTCTGATGAGGCTCCTTCTTAAAAGGAATTTTGTATCCTTTCACACACTGATTAATAAAAGAGCTATTGGAAATTTTATTCCAACTATCATAAAAAGAGGCCAAGCGACCACCAATATTAATACCTACATCATTTATTTGGATTATTTCCTTGGTGTTCTGCCCCGGCCTTGGTTTTGGTAAGCTCGTCTCTGGAAGCGTGTGCCTGACCCTCTGAAAAATAGCCGTTGTCTGCCCTGTTCGCCTGTATGTGAATTGCCCTGTGTGTTCGAATTTGGCCTGGGTTCGAACGGGCGCCTGAAGTTTCCCTGGTTCTTGGTTGACGATTTTTTGTGATCGAATAAGGCGTCAGACTCCTTCATGGCCTTAACTTCTTTATCAAGATCTAATCCAAACAGGTAAGAATCAATGTTGGATTTCTTTAGAATCTCCCTGATGCTCTTGGACTCGATAATTGGTATGATACAAGCACGTCGGGACTGTGATTGCTTGTACTGTGCTTGTGCAAGCAACTTTGCAGCATCCATTAATCTTTCAAGGAATGTATTTTGATCTAGTCCATCTTCATCTGCGTCGTTTACCATGGTTATTGCTGCGCTTAATGCAGTTAATGCCTCAGCTGTCAAGTCTTGCGCGTCAGCTCTATATGTATCTTTTTTTATCACCTTTTCATTCATCCTGGCTTTGATTTGAGGATTAAGCTTTGGAGTTTTGAATGCATCAGGGATTTCATATTTGTAGGTTAGCTCGCTACACTCAGTTTCAGGGAGTCCTTTTGTTGCGTAAAATTTTAGGCTTCTCAATACGTCAGAATGAATAGAGCTTCTCAGAGCTTTTGATTCATTTGGATCATCGCCTAGTGCTAATTTTAGTTCTTTTTTTAACGGCTTCTCCTTGACCGTATTATTATCCTGTTTAGGTGGATCTGCAACATATACATTTATAATTCGATTAAACGGCTGTGTGAGTGCACGAGCGCGTTTTCTTATATGCGTCTATTTTTACGCCGCAGTATGTGCAGGTTATAATCTCTTGCTTAGAGAATGGCTGTGCGAGCACACTAGCTCATTTCTTTGTTAACATGAGATATTTGCGATTTCGATTATATACGAGGCGGCTGCGTGATTACACTAGCTCGCTGTCTCAATCTATCGCCAAAATATTTATATTTCTTATTTTCAGCATTTTATGCATCTCCTTACTGTCCTGCGTAAGCAGGTCAAGGCCTGTTTGTCTACTCTTGTACGTACCTAGAGACACTTTCGGTGTTGCATCATCCATCTTATCCTCCTCCTCTGGTGTATCTTTCTTATGAGCTTCGACAGGGTCTTCAAGTGAAGATGACGAATCCGAGTCCTCATCGTCCTCTTGTGAGTCCGAGTCGGATTGACTCGTTTGTTCTTGTATAAGGTCGTCTAATTCTCTTCTCCTCCTCTTCAGTTCCTGTAGACTCATTTTTTCACCCGGTCTTTTCATTATTTCGCGGTTATGTTGCACGATGTGAATCCAGTGACAACGCAAAAAAGTATGAGAGGATACGGCACGGCCCACGGGCAAGGAGGCGCAGGGCGCCCCGTGTCGGCGGTTATTTTAGAAATCAAATTGCGTTGTGAACTCTGGTGAGCAGCTCAGGAAGCTACAAGTATATGTATAATCTCTTCGAGCGAAGCACGAAGTGTAATGCCACATATATATCAATAAATAAAAATCAATCTTGGATTCTTCGTTGTGACTTCCTGAACTCACGGTGAATTTCGGCCATTCATAATTAATATTTTTCCATCTTCTTTCTCTCAATTCGTTAGTGCACTCAAGGAATGCAAGTCGGAATGAAAGCAACAGCCGATCGGGTATAAGAACAGATGGAAAATAATCGTTTTTAATACAACTATGCATTAGTATAATGATTGCGCAACAATGTTTTATTCGTGAAATATGCAAGAAGTATTTTGAGATCTCATAAAAAATGTCAACTTACTCCACGAGCACTGCATCAACAACACCGTCGATACAACTTTTTACGTGGCTGATGCATTCCTGTCACCCTTCTGACCGCATCAGCATCTAAAACACACTAACGCAAAAGTTAATTTTAACATAGCGTACTAATAATTTGTTTTTCGTAACACTATTACTGAATAATTTTTTGCTAAATTTTAAGTACGACTTCTCTGCTACACGTCAAAACTCACGGTTATGATCTGAAATGTAAAAAAAACAACGTAAACATAAATAAACTATCATAACTGTGAATTTTGACGTGTAGCAGAAAAGTCGTGGCGTCGTACTTCAAGTTTAACAACAAATTATTCAGTGATAGTATTGTGAAAAACAAATAATTAGTGCGCCATGTTCAAATTAACATTTGTGTTGTGTGTTCTAGATACTGATGCGGTGGGGAGGGTGACAGGAATACATTAATCACGTAAAAAAATGTATCGACGGTGTCGTTGATGCAGTTGTTACAACTCTAATACAGAGCCTAACATACACACCGGAAGAAAAATCGTAAGTATGGTCTGCGCGTGTACGTAACCCACGGCTACGATTACTTTTCGAAGTCTCAGATTCAGCTATGACGAGGTGTGAGATTACGAGAGGCGTAGCGAGATGCTACGTTCAATGTACGCGAGCGGAGACTACGACGAATCGTAGCCTCAGACTGCGAACGTCGGATTGTTAGGCTACGATCTGTGTGAGCTCGTGGCAAGTCCGACTGGTCGTAGCGTCTGATTTCGAACGTCGGACCGTGAAGCTACGCTCTGTGTATGCATGTGACAAATATGATTGATCGTAGCGTAAGATTCTGATTATTATCGTTTACACGCTTTGTGTATATGGTAATAATGCCGCATATATAAATGAAGTATAATAAATAAATAAAAATTCAATAAAGTATGTTACGTATATAGCGATAGTGTTATGCGTATTGCATTTAATCAAAAGTATATACAAATTCTTCAACTTACTTTCAAGGGTTGAACGGAGAATTAAATAATCTAATAAAACGAAACGATATTAATTCACACAAATATTGTAAAATATTTTCGTTTCATGAAAAAGACCTATTATTTTATATTTTACAGCTAGCGGTTCGATTTACATATCGTATCTTGTAGATACAAATAATTTGTTATTTTTCTTATCATGAATGCAGGGTATCTTAAAATCGGAAAAAAAATTTGCTTCCACATATTGTTCAGATATAGGCTCACTAGCTATTATGTAGCCATGATAAAAATCATCGAACCTTATGGTTTTTAAATTTTGTACCATAAAATACAATTTGTCCTCTAATTTTACAATGTTACTGAGCTTGGAGATTGTGCTATTCCGTCTTCTTCGTCGATGCCATTGAAAAAAATTGTTCCTACTTGGAAAACTTTATCATTTACTATAGCATGATTTTCATCTTCAATATAATCTTGTTGATTGTCAACATATGTTTCTTTTTTAAAACGTAATGATAATTTTATTCTAGTACAAATTGACGTAGGAAGATTGACCGACGTAGAAGTCGTGAATTCATGCTAGTTACAATGTCCTTGAGTTCTGTGTGCTTCCTTTCGAAAGGCATGCCCCAAAAATGAATGACTGGTCCAATTTTAAGTAACAATCTTGGAATATGAGTAGCAAAGTGGAGCTTAGGCTTTAAATATTTAAATAGCTTGATATATAACTCATGGTGCTTCTTGATGTAGTCTTTGAGTAGATACGTTTCTGATTCAACTATTCTTGGCGATGTAACGATTCCGATTATTTTTCGCAAAATAATGTACAGTTCACAACATTTTTTATCATCTGGTATTAAGTCTCTTATCATAAGACCTAAATAGCGGGCAAGACAAAGCATTTGTGATGCCGATTGTTTTAGTTTTATTTTTGTATGTGTACCTAATATTGATACAGCAACTTTATCAGCTACTTCAATACTTATTGGCCGAGGTTTGTTCGAGTTTTCAATACCACAGTAGTCAACATTTTCTATTCTCTCATTTACTTTTGAAAGAGGAATTTTTTTTTCAACAATTATTAAAACCGTCAGGATTTTTGATATTGATTGATTCAGCAAAAATCGTGCATAATATCGACTATTTGATTTGTAGCAATGTGAAAATTGTCTATTTCGTTAAATACACACTTTTACTTTATTCCTCCGGTTGTATTACCTAAATCTTCTTCATAATTTAACTCACTTCGTAAAAGTTCCGGAATTTCTTCGGTAAGTTATCGAGCCTCCTCTCTAGTAGCTCTGCACGATCTACACCAATAACCTTTCAGTGAATTAAAACCTTGATTGAAACCACAGCTACTATTTAAGCCCAAATTATCACCTGTTATGAGAACAGATGCAAAAAATACTTTTTGAACTTTATCATTAATCTGAAGACTTAAGCCTTTCCTTGACAGAGTATTCAAATCTCTAATTTCGGCTGAAAAAACTACGTTGCCGAAACATTCTCTGTACTTGGAGTAAAAAACTGATGACACAAGAATGTTCTTCAATTACGAACTGAAGGGAAGAAAGGGCATAGACATATAAATTCCACCTAATTTTTGTTCTCCAGCATGAGATCCAAGACCGTTCCCTGGCTCAAAGTCATCAAAAAATTCAACAAGAGGTAATGTCATGTTTGGTTTATTTAAATTTTCATATTTTGTCTTCCACAAACTTCCTTGCATAACGTTTGATATTACTTTTGTTTCCTTTCTCAACGTTTCAATATAAGCCATACTTTTTTCAAAAACTTCTGTCAACTTCAAAAAAACTTTCAACGAATTCTCTAAGGGAATATGTGCAATTTTTTTCTCTTCAGTCAGTACTTTCGATGATGAATCATCCATTGAACTTTGCTCACCGACTTTAACATTCTCATGATCTTTAATAATATTTATTTTTCGAATACATTTTAAATCTCTGATACTTTAATAGAAAGTTTTGAAGTGGAGACTTATTTTCTGATAGGATTACACTCAAATTACCTATAAAATTATCATCAATTTTAGAGGTACTGTTCTGAACAATGTCCGTAACTTTGCTTTTCAATAGAGGAACATATACTTTGCTTATCCAGTTATTGAAAGTTCGAATAATTTGATCTATAACATTACAGGGTATCATTTCTTGATTATACAAAAATAAGGTCAGTTTTATTGTTTCATTTAAAAAGGTGTTTTCGTTCATATCTGCATATTTTATTAAAAAATCCATATCGTTAGAGATGAGAAATTTTACAAACAATTAAATATGAAAAAAATTAATAATTATCACAACTTTTCTTATGCTATAAACAAGCTATAAACTATCAACGTATAATCTAATTATAAGCTAGGTAATGAACTTATAGAAAAATTTTAATCAAGTGGCTTTTTTTTTTCTGGACTTCGCTGCAACCTTCCGAATTTTTGGTGGTTTTACAATATGTTTATCAAGTTTCGATACAAAAGTACTTATCGAATTATATACACTCATCTTCGGAGTTTTATTAAAAAAGTATTATTCTACAAACTGCCACACAAGAGTTGCAGCAGCAGGGAAATCTTTTTTAAGGACAGTTGCTAATTTATAGCACGCTTCTACAGCCGAAAACCCTGATTTACTGCCTACAAATTCATAAGTGAAATCATTTATAGCAATGTAGGATTTTTTTATCAAATCCAACGATGTACCACAAACAACAATACAAAATGTCGGGGTTATTTTGTATTTGGTATAGATCACTTTAACCTTTATTTGATACACTGGGGTTCGATGTACCCCACGCTTTTTCTATGTTTATTTAAAGTATCTAAATCTAAAAATTCTGACCTGGCGTGCCATCTGGATTTGATTCGAAGGTACTACTTTGATTTCAGGCTATGGGAGAAAGTCTTAGACCGTTATTCTCGTTTCAACTGTCAAGTGAAGTTGAGTGGTCTCGCCTGTACCCCAGTGTGACAAGTACGTTTGAAAGTAAGGGATTTTTATGAGTTTATTTCCGGTTATTTTTAACGTAAAAATTAAAATTTTCAAGTAAAAATATTGTTTTTCAAGTGTCTAATTTTTTTTTCGTCAATGTGTGATGTTTTATCCGTATTTCAGATGGCTTATAATTTACGACCTCGCCGAATAATCGAAGAACTGCTCGAAAATAAAGAGTCTGGCGAGGAAGTTTTTGAGCAACCTGATGATGCCTCAAGCTCTAATGATAGTGAAGCTTTTTCAGCAGGTGAGGAAGACAATGATGTCGAAATGGAAGGCGTTAGTCTTAACAAACGCCTAAACAATTCTCGTGCACGAAGACGGCCGATAACCAAGGTACAGGGAAAAAATGGCTTCCACTGGGATACAACTATGTCTTCTCGAAGATCAGGTATTGTAACATATCCCCTCCTTCTTTTTGTTTATTTATACATTTATTATTTCTATACGATTCTTGCTATACTACGTGATGTATATTACACTTCGTAAATGG